AGGATCATTTCCCCCTATGCAGCAATAGATTTAGCTGCATCTCTGCCTTCTATAATGTCATGTTTAGCCACACCCACTGACAAGAAGTAATATGGCAGAAAGCAAAAAGGGCATTTTAAAGCTAAAATCTTAGTGAAAATTTTTTTTTGAAGAATGGGAGTTGGTATACATTATTACTATGGACAAGCCATCACATTAAGCCAATAAAATAAATACCTCAAAAAATGGGGCAGTTACACTTTAAGCACTGCAATAGAGTCATTCCATTAAATAGTGATATCAGCAAAATTGGAAGCTGTTCAATACCACAACATTCCCTCGTTTATTCCTAAATAGAAAAGAACAGTACATGAAAAAGAGCTTTAAAAATGTTCTTATCAAAATTGCAATGTCACAAGTGATAATGAACATTTGATTCATCCCTCTTTGGAATCAGCAAGTGTAATATGCATCCACTTACGTACATGTACAAATACAACTGATTTTGACTGTTTGTATTTGTGCCATAAGCATGATACCTTGTGCATTGTATGGAGCAAGACCCAAAGCAGAAAATCATTTAACCGGCACAGTCCCACTGCATGTACATTACTTGTGAACACTCCCGTAATGTTTTTAAGTGTCACTGAAGACATTGAAATGAGCCACTGTTGGTACATTGGCCTCTCCAAATTGAAGAAAATAATATTTATTTTACATATATGATTTCAAAACTCAAATTTGTCCTGCATATTACCACTGTATTAAAAGTTACTTGCTTAGATAGTGTTGATTGCTATAGTTTTGATTTCATTCTTCATAGTCTAATTAAAATGTGAGGGTGTTTAGGTGTGGCTGCAAACTGACAGCATGCATGCAGTTATTACAGTACAGAGAAAGTATCAAATCTTCATTGCTAGAGTCGCCACAGTCCAGGACAGACATGGGGCGAAGCACTATGAAATGTACTTAAACACAAACACAAGCACTTAAATGTGTTGGAAGTACCAGCACAAGCACAATCCCTAGCTTTAACATAAGTACTTACAGAGCTAAAAATAATTTTTCAATTTGATTGGTCAATGTGTCCGGACATAATCCAATTTGTCTGGACATTATGTAATTTTGACTGGACATCACATTTCATGATTTGCATCAATATTTTAATCAAAAACTCAATAAGTATTTAAAGAATCAATAATTATTTGTAACATGATTTTTGATAGTTTTTGTCACTTTCACTCGTCATTAGTCATCAAGCCAATCATCCCATTCCTGCAAAAGTTCTGAATCAGTTTCACTCTCTTCACTAGAGTCTTCTTGATGAGTTTTGTTTGCACGTTCTGCATACTTTTTCCTAGGTCTTTGGTTTGGCCTTCGAACTTTATCATTCCACCAAAGCTGAATGCTATGATCTGGGTTGAAGTTTTTTAAAGAAATGGGATCAGTGTTTAATGCAAGAAGGTCATCCAAAACACTATTGCCTAGTGAAGACCTCCTGTCAACTTTGATTAGTTTCAGTGTAGAGAATATTCTCTCAAGCTTCCCATTTGGCACAGGAAGAGTGAATAGTAGATGAGCAAGCTGTAGAATATTGCTCCAGTCAGATGTGTTGGGAGAATGATATAACCTCCACCAGATACATCTATAATCCATTGTGAATATTTATGAACTGTTTGGCATATGTAATCATGTCACGGAACTCTTCTTTCAGCTGATTGATAACAACTCCATTAGATTCAAGTGGACACCTAAATCTCATGCCTAGCCTAGTGATAGCTTCCAAA